CTGCTCTGCTCTGCTCTGCTCTGCTCTGCTCTGCTCTGCTCTGCTCTGCTCTGCTCTGCTCTGCTCTGCTTTGCTTTGCTTTGCTTTGCTTTACTTTACCCTGCGATGGACTAGCATCCCATCCAGGGGGAGTAGAAATACTCCTGGCCGCTTCATGCTACAGAAACTGGGAAAAGCTCCGATATGATGGGCCTACCTGGCTCGTAAGCAGACTTTACCTTGAGTGGTGAACGTAAAAACCTTACCTTACCTTACCTGACCTCTCCTGACCTCGCCTTACCTTACCTCACCTCACCTCACCTCACCTCACCTCACCTCACCTTACCTTTCAGTTTTTAAGCAGATTTTTCTAAAGCGCATATAATCAGTTCCATAATATATAGATTTCAATTATTATAATGTCAAATAGTTATTTGTCTGGAGAGTAAAATGTCTTTTCCGTTATTTATCACATACTTAGTGGGTTAATGGTAAAAAAATATAGCATAAAGTACTAATACTGCTTACTTGTCATGCCCATTTCTTTGTGTTAAGTTAAGAGTTTTTCTTTGTTACGAAAGTAATTTTGCAGAATCAAAAACGTGGGACACTACCAGGAGATTGAAAATTTGCTTATTCTCTGATAGCTTAATTGTACGTAGATATCTTATCCTTGATATTTACAGTCTAGTTAAAAGTAAAGCATCAGGCTGACGGCGATACCTTTAAAATGTATAAATATAAGTCTAAAGCATTAATCTATTACATTCTGCATCTATTCTTAACAGAACACAAAGACGTAGAATGGAAAAGGAACGGTAAGGCTATTACTGAGAAACGTTATCCAACGAAATTAAACTCTCAGTGCCGAGGATCTGGTAGTCTGGATGTTTCAGTCGAAGGCAGGATGCCACTCCCTGTTAAATCAGCTGACTCTGAACGGGGTGTTTCTAATACAAACCAAACAGCACATACCTCGACCGATTCAGGTGATGGATGGACTCTGGTGACGTCAAAGAGCCAGAGACTAAAGTCAGTGACCGAAAGAACTTCTATTTCCGACTGGCCATCATTTCGGCGACGTTCCTTTGTAGAAGATAACCGTACTTTGCAAGGTCCCAGCTCTACTGCAACAAAACGCTTTCCCACTAATCGTGTCCAACTTCAGGGACTCAAATCTAAACAAAAATCCAGAGAACATTTTAGGAGAGGAACTACCTCCGCTTCATCAGGGTTTGCAGGTAACACAGATTACGTCCTTCGACAATCCCAAAATTCATCGCGTCACTTGAAATCTGCAAAACTATATTCTTTTCTCAGCCGTGAAGAGTCCCGAGACAGGACGTATTTTCGACAGATCATTAGTCATTTTCCAATCCAGATGTTAAATGCACTGAACTCACAGAACATGTAAAAAGTACGGTTATGATACAAATATTTCCAATGGAGAGTATGATGGGTGAAAAGTTTTATTCCTTTTTCCTCCTGTGTGATATAATAGTAAACTTGAAAAACCATTTAATGCTTCTTACTCTAAGCTTACATTCACAGCACTTGAATTTTTAGCCCACGCACATTCGCTATCAGTTACTCAATCATTATTATTTATTATTATTACGCGTGACTAAGTGATATTTTCCCTACAGGCCGTGCCCCGTTCGGACGGATTGCTGATCCTCAAGTTTTGCTCGAAGAAAATGATTTCCAGGACACTGCTAAGGCCCAGAAACGCGTCCAGGGATCGTTGATCATTCGTGATATAGCGTCAACTAAACCAAGACCTCCTCCAACCGGAGTGTGCAGTGAAAAATTCCAGTTGTGCAACTGGTAACGCCCAATTTTTGAAGTATAATTTGCTGTTTTAACTTAATTTATCTTTAATTTATTATCAACGGCAGCGTACTTTCGTGGTTAGATTTTAGTATATTAACAATCCGTGTGCACATGCAACTTAGGTGGAAGTCTGGTCGAGTGTGCAGGTATGGAACACATTGCATCTTTGCTCACAGCGAAAACGAACTGAAATCATGGATGGGAAACAACAGGGAAATTCAGGAAGCTAAAAGCGAAGAAGAATTATCCTGCCAAAAACC